GATTACGACACATGTATTTTGGTCTCTTGTTATGGTTGGCTTGTCTAGAAGACAAGCTCTGAGAAGGACTCGGAGGAGAAGACCTTTTGCCAAGAGCTATTTGTCTCTTTGGTCTAAATGCGTCTCCTCAAAACATGGTCTCGACTAAATTAACACGTTTCTCCCATGTGATGGGTAGCTTCGCGACAATCATTTGCACATGATTCGTCACTGACTGGAGGCTGCTCAAATTAGATACCAACTATTATTGCTTTTTCTTGAGCTGATGACACCTTTCAAAATGTTTTTCTTACCAACGACGGGTAGCGTAATTTTTTATTGCCCCGACACCGTTTTGTCTAAACGTGAAATTTTTCTTTCATTCTTTCGTTTTAATCTAAGACCTTTTCTTTTTTTGAGCGGGGGGGGGGGTGAATTAATGTAAGCGAATAAATTTAGTCACTATATCTTGGCACCACCAGATGTTACAGATCTTTAGCGTTAAATTTTCGTTATACATTTACAAACAAACTTGATTCGGAGAAATATTCTGAAATGAAGTATTTTAATTGAAGAAATAAAAACAAACAAATGAAAAAGAATTATCTGAAGTGCATGTATGTAAATTCTATTTTAAATAAATAACAGTTAACTAATAAACATCATTATTTATAAATAGAACTAGCTTTATTAACGTCTTTAGTAAGAAAAACATGAATAAACTGTACTTAGGTAAAATTTCCTTACTATTTAATTACCTTACTAGTTCTAGATAACTCTTATCGATCAAAAAATAAAGAAAATTTCGGGAAGCATTAAATATAAAGAATAATCGTGAATAAATAAAATAATAAAAAGCATATTTATTTGGAAAAATCAACTTGCTTAATCCATGAAACTAAAAAGAGAGACTATATTACATTTAAATTTTAAAAATCTAGAAAGTTCTTATTCTGGGATATTAACTCGAAGTCCTTCAGACCCTGTCAGCGAGTCATTGTTCCGTCGTTGTAAATGAGATAAAACCCTGTGAAGGTTTTTATTATTTATGATTATTAAAATTGGTCTTTATTATTATTATTAAACTTGAATTTAAACAGAAGGCACCACTTATACAAACAAACAAACCTCGCTACTTGACAGCAGTAAAATAACATAAAGTTGAATATGCAAATTTAAAGTGTCGTAGCCGGAGACTAAATAAATTTGCCCTAACTAAGCTAGCTCAATTGTAATGGCGCGATTTAACGTCGGCTAGCTAATGGCTAATGCCGGGCAGCTGGGTGATAAAAAGTAAAGTTACAGTCGTCGCTGTAAAGTTACAGTCGTCAAAAGCTCTAAAACACTCAAAACTTAAAATAAATACTCTAATTCATTTGCATCCTGGTGAGGGCTAACGGAAAGGAGATGTTCCAATAAAAATACAAATCACAAAAATATTTTATAAAGTATCAGTAAATTAACATAAAATACAATATAAACAGACGAAGATTATTTAAAAAGCCAACTTATATTCGAACATTAAGTTCAAAATATTCAACATTATAAAGTATTAGTAAATTAACATAAAATACCTTATTAATAGACGAATACTACTTAAAAAAGGTAATTTATATTTGAAAATTAAGTTCAAAAGATCCAACATTAAGTAATACGAATTTAATACTTTACTGGAATTAATTCTAATCACATTAGTGGATTTTCCTATAATATATTCGCATCAACTTCTGGCACTTGTCGTGAAATCGAATGAATGAGTCGAAAAGACTGCATTCTCCTTTCAATAGTCTGAAGGATAATAAGTTGCATCGAAGATAATAAAATGCATTCTGATAAAAAACACCACGTCATAGTAAGTAATCTAGGACGTGTACACATAAAATTTCTGTAATATAATTTGTCTCACAAATTTCTGTAATATAATTTGTCTGCAGTATTTCAGCATAACGAAAGTAGATTAAAGTTCTAAGAATGTTCACAGCATGAACAAAGAAATTCTGTGTATCGAAATTAGCATAGGGCTGTATCTCTAAAAAGAAAACTAAGTTAGTATAAATTATATGCTACGAACATAAACGAAAGAGAGCACAGACGTCTTCTTTAACAACGTTAATAAGATTCAGCCGGAAACCAGTCGTTTTGAAGCATAGCTTTAACGTCTTTTGCGATAAGATGTCTAACAGAAACAGGATGCATTGGCGTTGTCAATTTTTCAGGACCTGCACGTTGAAGCAAATCCGACGACAAGCAATATCTCATGATTTAAAACAGATTGGAAATAAGAGCGGTAGACGTAACCCTTCAAGTGGTAATTGCACACGCACTTCGTTTAAACAAACATAGAGATTGTAATACTACGAGTATAATACACGTATTCCCCATTTTATAAATATTTACTTTACCTCATTGTATTGGTACCTACTTTTCTCAGAAAAAAAAGCATAGATGTCTTCCGTTTTTCCCAAAGCCAACACTTATTGCTTGTTTTATAATACGAAAAATACCATACTGTTTTATTTCAAGTGCTTTATAAAAATTCACATAAGACAACAGAGTTTAATCTTCGATATTGATGCAGGCAGACACAGTACAAGCCGAAAATATAAGTCACAATGAATTCAAATGAAAATGAGATATGAATTAGATAACATTCCTCTCTACAACCCAGTTAGTATCCTAAAGCTCTATCCCAATTTCTGACGAATCAGCCAAGCAAATGTCACTGCAACCATCACCTTTGAACTTCATATTCTAGAAGCTACCGAGTTCTAGGAGATGGAAGTTATGCTAATTACATCCCTTTACACAGGCTGTGCTTTTACAATCTCATTCCCGCTTTTATGTATACAGGGTGAATCTGAACAAGGGGCAAAACTACGGGGTGATAGAATGCAGCTATACGAGCAATATTCGTCACATGTCTCAACGCAAATGGTGAGAAATTAAAAGGCAGTTTTCACTGGAATACTTAAAGAATTAACACAAGAACGAGAGGAGATACTTTAGAAAACATTTTATTAACAGGAGTGTAATCGATCTACATGTTCAAAGAAATTGCTAAAAAGACCTTCCGCTAGCTGTAATGCAGGATTGGAAATAAGAGCGATCACACTCGCGCGATAGGGAATGACGCACATTTGCGAAGACACCAGGCATTTCCCGAGTATCGCCGGTAACAAGAGAGAACCTGACGACTAGATCCATATCCGTTTCAACGGGGCATTCGTAGATTAGACTTATAATATGGCCCCACAGGAAAAAGTCCAAACACGAGAGATCCGGTGATCTCGGTAGCCAAAATATGGGACCACCTCGACCAATCCATCGCCCTGGAAATTCCGTGGTACGTATAACCAGCCATCGTCTCGGCAATCTACGGTAGAAAAAGCCAATGGGTACGAGGACCGATCGTTTTTATACCATTTAGAATGCCACCTAGCAGCTCGCCGTTTGCGTTCCGCCCAGACTTTATATGACGAATATTGCTTGTGTGGCTGCGGTCTATCACCCCGTAAAATTTTATCCTCTTGTTTAGATTCCTCCTAGATTCATTCATTTAAAATTTTATGTTTTTTTTGTATGATGTAATAAGATTATGTTTGGAAAAGAATGAAAAATTTTGAGCATCCACTGTGTATGAAATAACGACAAATATCATTCGCAACAAAAGACTATACAAATTAATAGCAATTACTTCTTAATTTCATTTCATTTTGGCTTAAGAAAGAATTCATGGGTATGCTATTAAAAGCAAAAGAAACCTATGTAAAGGAGTTCTAGGAACTATTTTTGTGAACTTCGAAAGAAATATCAATCACAAATATGGTTCGCAACAAGAGACTGAATGCTTTCGAAAATAGCTGGGGAGTGTTAAAATTCACCGTAACATTTTGCATTGAGAAAGATATAACAAAAATCACGATTTCTGATTTTTCGAGTAAGACGAAGAACTCAGCAGTTTCAGTAGCTGCTGTTACGCTGGATCTAGGATGTTTATTAATCCTAAATTTTAGAGCTTTGCGGATTGTTCCTGCATATCTGAAAACTGCGTACATTATATAAAGACCATTAGTTATTTTAATTTTATTTTTAATTTTGGAATAAGAGTTGTGAAAAATGTGCAGTACTCTCCCCGGGTTTCGAATACAAGACCTACTGTTGCTAGTCGGATGTGCTTTCCAATTACATCAAGAAGGTACGTGGAAAGGAGGGAGTAAATATCTTCCAATAAAAAATTTCATAATGGCCGAACTGATGCAAGCCTGGAAGGATAACTGTCATCGACAAGAATTTCGCTTTAGGTTTGAAAGAAAAAAAAAAAAAATGCACTGTTCGAAATATTTTAGGATAAGAAGTTTAAGATTAGGTATAAGGGACAAAAAACAGATGATGACAGGGAAAATAAAATTGTCCAGTACCAAACTTATATGTGATAACTATAGTGGAGAAAAAGTATTATTGTATTCAAGGATTAAATATGCTATTGCTTGTGAGGAATTATGTCATTTCTGTTGTGTACGTTCTTGCAGTGTGATTGGTTAGTACATTAACGCACAACTGAAAGACTGCTTTTTGGGGAAAGGGACGCCACCATTTTTTTTTTTTTTTATGTTTGTTGCTTCAAAAACTTAACAGTCTCTATATTGACGAACAGAATTTTTCATTGGAAGCAAATCGAAAAGAAATTATAGTATTTCAGGTTTGTTCTTGTAGTGTAATAATTAGTACATCCAGCAATCAAATGGAAGATCCATGATTCGATTACTCAAGAAGTTGCAGTTGATTTTTCCTAGAAAAGAATAATACAACGAGGTAATAAAACTTATTAATTTATTTTCTGTAATGTATTCTTCGATGATTCCACATGTTGCTTATTATTGTGAAATTTTTCTTTTTGATTTCGACTTTGCAACTTGAAAGACCCTTTTTTAATAGATGTTCATGAATTAAAATCTGATTCTTTTACCAATACTTGAAACAAAAACTCTGAGAAGACAAACTGACAACACAAAGCTCCTTACCTTTCCTCCTGTGTAGACATATTTTGTAGGATTAGATATGGTGACAGCACAGACAACTTCGCCATGGCTCAGTGTATTAATTTGTCGCGCGTGCCTCGGTATGCCTGGTCCAATGAGAGCATCCGGAGGGAAAGGCACGGGCTGCATCTGTCCATCTGCATTTACGTGGAAAGAGTACGCCCTGTGTTTAACAGAAGAGCAATGAAGAATTAATGAATTTGTTATTTGGATTATATTGGAGAAAAGCAACTATAGTTGAAGATTATGTTAACAGTTAAAGAAAGAATTAAATTAAGGTTAATCATGGAAAGATTTTTAGTGTTACTTAGAACGAATGCAAAAAAGGCCGACAAAAAAAGGGTGACAATCACGGAAATTAATGAAAGAAGCTTTTAATTAGTATATGAAAAAGAGGCAAAACTAATTTTAATATCTTGCTTATTAAGGGATTATTGGAAAATATGATTGCAAATACTTCATTATATTTTAATATAGTTCCCATTACATTCAAAGCAGATGTGTAAATGCTCTAGTTACACACAGACTCCGTAAAAAAACTTTAATAATTGACTGTTTAGATATTTATATACATTGTCTTTTAACTCATTGCTCGTACTGAATCTATTGACAATGCGTGCCTCCTTCAGAAGTTACTCATAAACATATTGCTGCAAAAGACCTTGTTTTTAATATTGCCAGTTTAGCCTACGATGAATGCTTCTGCTAATTTATTACTTTCAAACATAAAAATTGACAATTTCATTCCTCTTCGTGTAAATTATTATTAATATTTTTACATTACACCCATATATTACCCATTTCCGTGTCTTTAAGTTCCGTGAAACATTATTCTTAGCGAAATGTACTCATATCATATTACTTCCTATCAGATCTATATTAATAACTGAAATTAGGTGGTATAAGAGAGTTTCAATATCTATTATACTAATACATTCAAATGAAAATAAATATAAATAACTTAATACAATGCAGGAAAATCGAAGTCAAGACGTGACTAAAATTCATGTATTTATTTTATGAAATGCATGTTACTTATTACTTTATTCTCTCGTACACCACACTCTAAAGATTGTGAGGGTACAATGGACACGACTCAGTATATTTACACTAAAATGTATTCATATAGCTATCAAACATAAAGATGATGTGAAAATGTCAAGTAAAGATTAACTAAACATAATAATGAACATGCAGAAACTTATTTTCGGAGTAAATTCATAAGGAATATAGTTATATTATCAGTCAAATATGAAAAACAATAATGTATGATAACACAATTACAAAGTCATACAAATGGAGCTAAGCAATGACATAAAAATGCGTTTAGAAAATGCTTTAGCTTCAGCATAGGAATTTGCATAATTATACGAAAAGCCAAAACAATGGATGAAAAAAATGCAAAATTAAGTTCCCGTGTGACCTTCGTTGACTGCTATGAAATATGAATGCAAATGTTTTTATTAAGTGATGTTTCCTTTAACATAAAGCATGCTTGGTTGAAGAGAGTTGTGAACATCGAATTCAGGTAGAACATCTCAGAAATTTTCCATGCCATTAAATACGTAGATTATGGTAAGAAATTCACTTACGGTTTTCCACCGGGTATGCTACCAAAACTCGTTCGCATGGAGGGATGGTCGAAGCCAACCTGAAATATAAAAAACATCCATTGACAATTTGCCTATTATAAAAGGCTGATGATCTTTCCATCTAACAGTATGAAAATATTAATTGATTCAAATAATACATTAATGGGCATAAAAGCCGTAATTCTGCTATATATACACATTCAAACTATCTAGTTTCAGTACTTCAAAAGGTGAATTAGGTTACAGAGAATTTTCTTCAAGACATATTATTTTTAAGGAAACATTATTGCTTCTTGAAGAAAACTTTTCTGACGTATCATCTGGAAATTCTTAGAGCAGCAACCTTTAAACTGTGTGTCATATAATCCTGCAACTTGTCTAGACATCCCACAAATCAAAACCAAAATTCAAATGAATTTCTGCATACCATGCGAATTGCAATTTATTTTTTCTGTACATCGGAATTGCCTTTCCATTATTTATTTTTTATCTTTTTTACACCTTAATGTGTCAAAATTAGCGAACGCGTCGGGAAATTGGAATACAGAATTGAGACTAAAGTTTTTGACATAGTTTATTTAATTCATTAAAAATTTTGTCGCGCAAAGTTTCAATTGTCTGTTTCGGCGAAACGCAAAATTTAGGCTTATTGCCTATATTGGTGTTAACTTAGTTCGAAATTCATTTTAAAAAGTTCCCTTGACGAGCCAAAATGAACTTCGAATTAGGCTAATTAACCATTTACCGCTTCTTAATTTTTATTTTTTATTTTTACCTCCATCAATTGATTAGTATTTTACTGTGTTTCAAATCGACTTAATTCGTTTAGCATATAGCCTTACTATTTTATTTTACCTCGATCAATTGATTTGTTTTTTACTGTGTTTAAAATTACTTAATTCGTTTAGCATATAGCTTACTTTTTATTAATTTTACTTGTAAATATTCAAATGTTGTATTTTTCTCCTTTTTCACACGTTTCATAGCAACTAAATATGTTTATGTTGAAGTTTTCACGGAGCCACAGATTTTGGTAACTTTTCACCGTGTGTACAAAAATTTATCTTCTAATTTCCTTAATTTTGCAGCACAATGCGCAAAAGTTTTGACCGCATAGGTCTTTTTCCGATTGTTCTTACAACTTAACTTTAAATTATACATATATTTATGTATATACTGTTACTTACTAATATCCTTTTCACAGCTTCCCTACATTTAAAATCCTTCATTTAAAAATTTTCCATTTAAAAAGTCTTTACAAAAATTCTTCTTATTTTTTTCTTTAATAACAATTAAATTAATTAAAATATTTACGGTGCAGTAATTTTTTAACAATTTAATTTCTTATTTAGATTGGTATTAAAAATATAGTTTTATTAAACAGCAATTATACTCCTCAAGTAATATAATTCTTACCCTTATTATCAATCCCAATTTATTTACATTATATTACACACATTGATTTTACACAACACTATTATTCCAGGGGGAGGAGAGTAGTAGGTAAACTGGTCTTCTATTTCCGTTTGTTCTTTTCAATTAATTATTTAATTATTTTACAAAGGTTTATATTTTTGTATCCCTTTATCTATTTTAATTACTTTCATTTTCATTTCCCAAATTTAGGCTTATTGCCTATTTCTTTTGGTTTCCAACTATAAAATTTTCTCAGTTTTAAAACTTACAAATTATACCAAGTTATTACAAGTTACTTACATTCTTAACCTTTTGGGTAATTTACCTATTAAAAATTTTAGAATTTCGGATCAGAACCTTTGGCTTATAATTTAATTACTTTTTATTTTTACCAACTTTGTTTTACAAAATTTACCTAATTCCCTCTATTTTTATCTATTTTTTGGCTTGTTCTTATGATCCAGTTCAAAATAAACTTAATTTTAGAACTTAAAAATTCATCTTTTACGAAAATTGGGCAGTTTTTTGCCTTTTCTGAGTGTTCGGATTCCATACTTCCTGGATTTCTTTGAATCCGCATAATCTTTCCTCAGTCTGGAAATTTGTATATTTTACCAAATGGATATTTCAAGATCCCTTTATCTAAAAATTTTTAGAAATTTTCTTTTAAATAAATTTTATATTTTTTTATCTTTTTCAAAACTTTTGACTTAAAATTCAACTATTTTTGAATGCAACATTTCCATCTTAACAAAGAACGTTTAGTTCCCATGCATTTTTATCATTTTTTGCGGGGGATCTTTCTTCTCATCCAGTTAAAAAAATTAATTTCGAATTTTAAAAATTTGACATTTACAGAAATTATGCAATTTTGCCTTTTCAGTATATTTTTGTTACTTTTCCGTTATTGGGACCGGATTCAGAAATGTATGTGTGTATGCATGTGTGCACGTATGTAAGTACGTATACATATGTATATGTGCACATCCACGCGCATACATACGTACATACATGTATACATACACATTTGGCCTACCAGTGGCCAAGCGGTAAAATCGCTGTAACACTGGTAGTTCGGTCCGGTGTTCGAATTCTGGTGAATGAGCTGGCTACATATTTTTGTAGTTTTTCCCCATTTGTAGCATGTACATGAACCAAGTGCCCTTAGAAAGTCCTCCACGAAGGTGTTTTCCCTCTTAAGGCAGATAGCCCTAGCGTGCTTTACGATAATCAAATAAATCAAACGAAACATACATATTTCTAAATACGGTCCCAGTAACAGTAAAGTATTATTTTTTTTATTTGCTCCTTTCTTGATAGCTTATGAATTTGTTATGTTGCTTTTCAAGACAGTCAAATGTTTTACGCATTAACTCCAATGTACCTCCTCCTCTCTCCACAACAGCAAAAATATAGATTTTCAAATTATTACAAAAAACGTAAAGCGAATATATCATCTTTGCCAGGGTTTTCGCTAAGAAAGCACAAATTTCCCCAAACTACTATGAGAACAAATTATGTTTTTGATTTTAATGTAAAAACTCTGCTGGTATGTGTACTTTTGATATGTTGTTTTAATTGCTTTGACATATTTTAATATGCACGTATATATACGCTCTTACAGATATCACAAAAAATATTCTAGGCCGTATATACACGGCCTTGCCGCTTAGAGGGTTAAAATATCTCCAAACAAGTATTTATAAGGCTTAAAATGCTATGCCATTTGTTATATTACTACCTATTGAAAATACGCACTCATATAGAAAACATTATCTCATTGAATTTTTGGTATACGAACAGGTATTTTCAGTATCGCATCATTTTGAAAATTATGCCAGTTGTGAGCTATAGAATATTGCGTTATCGTCATTGTAACTCTTCCAACTTTAAAAATATTATTTCATTAATAAAACATGCTGCTATTCATTATTATTTTATCGATACTTAAACTATAAATTACCATTTTTTTAAATTTATGTATATCAAATTAATACATTCTAATAAATACGGAATTATGGAGACCTAATAATTAGAAAAGTTATATTGATTAACCCAGCAGTTATCCTTATTTTAAGCTTAGCAACCGGGAGATATCACCACAATATACGGTCGTTTCAACGACAAGGAGTCCGGTGATATTAAGCTCGCAATTTTTATTTAACAAATCCCCATATTTCCAACATTATGCAAAATATTTAACCTAATATAAATAAAATTAATGTAATAAAAAGATTATTCAAGTATTTACAGAGATATTTACAGTATTTATAATAAGCTTAAAACTTTTAAAATAACACAAAGAAACATGTTTAGTAAATTACCTAAAACTAGAAAAAAAAACTCTTACCAAGGATCTTGAGTAGGAATTGAGTGCTGGCGAAATGTTATTATGAAGGACTCCTTGAGGAAAAGCAGGTCCAGAGCCAAGCTCTCCGGCTAGGGCAGCTCCGCCATGTAGGGCATATGGATAAGGTGGACCTCGAAAAGCAACATCCGTTCAGGAAATGAGAAAGTTAGTTTTTATGATACTATTGACACAGGTTTGATTGCATTCATATTTTTATAACTGTATTTAAAAAAGGAATAAGGTCATTTATTGAAAAACTCCTTGCACACTACATTAAAACATAAACACGATGCAGGAACCCCGATATCGACAGAGTAGAGTTCGGATATATTTAAATTCAGTGTATTTATTAAACAAATTTATTGGCTGTTTGAGTAATTATCTGCAAGAAAATAGATATAGCAGCACATTTAACGTCAGCTGCAAACATGGCATTTAAAGGTGACGTTAAAGTCATGTTACAGACGTTAGTGGAATGACGAACTTTGCAAACTATAATCGAAATTAAACTATATGCACTGCGATATCCATTGAAGTATCTTTTTTCTTAGAAATTAAATTGAATTACTAAATTCAATCTGATCGCATAATGACATGCATCGATTTCTAAAAAAATTTATCAGTTTTGATTCCTCTTAAAAACATTCTATTAGTATAATTTTAATTTCAAATAATGTTTGCAACATCGCCATTAAGCTAAATATGTTTGTTTAGATACGTGGAAAATTGAAAATATTTTAATAATTATTAAAGAGATCAGTTTAAAAGTTTAGAAAGAATAAAAGATTCTGAATGATTTCCAGTTTTCTTTAGTTTTTATTTATTTATTTATAAGTGAGAAAATATAGAGAATTAAGGAACGCCACTCACCTAGTGCGTGTTTTGGATGAGGTTTGATACCGCTGGAACTAGGTGTCGTAGACCCGGAACTTGTTGGTGTCACCGGCTTGGATACCGGAGTCGGAGGTTTTTCATTCTGTTAAATTTAGATTTAATATTAATTAATTGTTTTAAACGTAGTAAAATATATTACATTAATAAAAAGCTATATTACAAAATTTCTTTTAAGAATCAAAGAAAGATCAATCTACTGAGCTAGAAGCTCCTATTTATTATGAAATTACATTAAAAAAAGGAATGAAATTAATTTCAGGAAATTTCTAATATTTTAATATATTGCTTATAAGAAAGTTGCCAAATCTTAATTCGAAATGACGGAATTTTCATAATAAATTACAATTAATTAATCAAAAAATAGGTTTCAGCAATTCAGTTATTTATTTTCGTTTCGAAGTTCTGAAGATGTTCAATTTGCAATTCAGAACAATACAAAGATAATGAAGGTGCATATCACAGAGTCCAACGATTTAGAAAATGCTCTGCGCAAAAATAAATTTACGAAACTTTTAGAGGAATCATTTAGCGTTACCAGGACTTTGGGTAAGCTAATTACCTGCAGATTTCGCTAGAATTCCTTTTAGCGCACAACAATGCTAGACGAACATATTTTCGTAACCTGGGTAGATGGCGTTGTTTAATATAGTATTAGTACCAAGTAAGCAGCTTATTTAAAATAAATCCTGATATATTTGACAACCTACAGTACCTGGCGTCATGAAAATCTTACTTTAATCCGATGCGGTTGACTGTTAAAGAAACAATCGCAGAAATATGTTGAGTTGGTGGAAAATTGAATCAATGAAATGCTTACAAGTATTATTATTATACACAATATTACATTAGTTTTGTAAAATTGCTTTTAACTTCGCCGCACAAATAATAAAAATGAAAATCATTCTTTAGGCGATTATGTTAAGCTTTTCTCATTATTGACAATAGCACTTCCAGTTAAACTATGTTTTCCCAAACATGGGCTAAAGATAAACTACGGAGGGTCTCGGGAAGTGTTGAGAAGCAAGTGGACAATAAAAAACACACTTAAAAAATTTGGTTGCCTGATTACTTTAGAAATAAACTTTTAAGCATTCACTTGATACAAATATCATACCAATTAGGCAATATCAGCTTCTCACATATTTTGGCTGAAGCTACATGTAGTTTCATTTTCCTGTTCCCATAGGAGCTAATTTATAAACTATAGTCTAGTATTCTGAAAGCATGGTCACAAATCTGTTTTATAATGAGATTCAGTATGCGAAAAAAGCAAGTTCTTTTAATTCATAACAAGTGTCATTGCAGGAATCTGCGAATGATTAGAAAGAGTCATTAGTATAAAGGTTTGTCAGTGTCAGTATTACAAATGCTTTTAGATGTCTTTAATCGTTACCATTCAGTTTCCGTTCTGAATGAAGAGTTTTAATTAATAATTTGGTGAAGTGCAAAAAGTATCTAAAAATGTTAAAGCATTTTCTATCAGTGCCACAAATCACATTTGAAAGATACGTGATATATCCTTGTTGTAAGGAAGAGGGGCGTTGAGCACCATAAAACTCGGAAAGGGGGCAGGAAAGGAGCCGGGAAATTTGAGAAATTGCGATTTAGTTTTCCCACATTTCATAAGACGCCATCACTTTCCGATAAGTTTTAGCTCAGCTCCCTCTTTGAATATGCTGAACTCCCACCGGTATCTTTGCGACAATAATATATGAGATGACGAATATTGCTTCTTGCGCATATTATTGACGAATATTGCTTCTTGAGATCGCTGCAAATACGGACTTACGGCATGTATTTTAGAATTTTATAGTCATAGTTTTGTAATTTACATTCTGAGTGTTCTTTTGGAATAATAAATAAAAAAAAAAAAAACAACCTAAGCCGCTTGTTATCTTGCACCAATCCATATAAAGTGCTATAACTGGTATAATTTTTGTAAATTAAGTGTAATGTTTGTATAATCAAGTGAATGTTTAAGGGTTCGTTTCAAAGCGTTTTAGGAAGCCACTTTTCCCAAACGTATATTTATTGCACAGCTTCTTCTGAAACTTATTTTTCCTTGACTCTATAAAACTTCCGAGACCTCAGCGCCCATGTTAAAAAACTATAATCTAGATTAATTAATTTTGAGATTCTAGGAAGCTGAGTTTCTTAATCAGTTACAAGACTAAGATGATTACAACCAGAGACCAATCAATTATTCGGTACTTTTCCGTTTTGCCGGCGCAGGCGATAAAGTCGCCAATAATGGTACAACTGATACCAAACGGAATATCCTCGCTGGTAACCTTTTACGACTCATTTTCAAAAACTAGTCGCAGCCATTTCTTATCAGATTGATTGTTTCTTTCAATACTGGAATACAATTACACAGAATTTTTTCAAGATAGTTCAATTTTGTGCCCTAAGGCCACTCGCGGTAATTAAGTCAATTAGGATGCGATCACACCGTTCATCCGAAGTTGAAAATATAGAAAAGGCTTAAGTTCATCAATTCTAAAACGAATGCGCTAGCTAAGTAAAGCACTGCGGTTTTACATAATTTCTGAGTAAGCTATTCGTACGAACTGAAATAATTCTTGCATTTAAACTTGTATTCCAAATTAAGATTTAACTTGAAATTAATGTAGATAATTACTGAGAGAATTAGATTTTTATAGCGTAGTTTACGTGAGATGAGATCACTTGGGATCACGTGATACGAACCGGCGAATCAGGATGTTGAACCATGAAAGCATAATAAATTCTTAGATTAATGTCTTTTTACAAATTTATTGTCTTTATTTATTTGCTTTTTGGAAAATTTTGAACGATATTAAAATGTTTATGCCTTCAAAATAAAAAATTCTTAGAACTAACATTTGTTAACATTTTTTATGTGTACACTGTATGTTGTCGCCAATAAAATCTGCTTAGCGAGATTTGCGCCGACGAAACGGAAAAGTACCAATTATTTTTTTAACATTTTGAAATTATTACTCACAATCCAGAAAAACCTCTAGTTAAAATTTATAATTAAAATATTAATTAAAATTTCTTTTGATTTTTTTTATAAGAAGTTTAGGATGGACATAGACAAGTCTATTATATTTACCCTTTAATTATATACGCACTTTAGTTACTGGTACAAAGCATACAACAGAATATGAGATCCTACAACAGACTAGTCTAAATTAATAGATGTTACCACAAGAACAATAACTCACAACATGGTCCTTGTGTTTAGCAGAGGACGGGGTACTCCTACTCGAAGACGACCCACTACGACTAGGAGGTCGCTCCCGTTTTGGACCCCTTTCTGTGCCGTTTTCCCTGGGTGACATTTCTCCATTCGGAGGTGAAAGAGGTTCCTAAGAAATATCAGGCATGATTGAAAATTTATAAGTAAATTATGTTCAGTACAAATATAAACAATAACTTTTTATTAAATTTTCCATAAATTTGGGAGAAAAAATTATTCAAGAAGCTAAAAAAATATAAAAATAAATAATACTAATGATAGTTTATAAGCTTGAGTTTTAATAAAAAGCTTTAAAGTTTATTTTTAAGAATATTTTACACAGTTGCTATTTGAAATTATCAAATCAAAACTTTTTACCATTCACCGCTTTATTTATAATTATGAAGTAATTTTTATACTTTATAATATGCAATATTTCATCGTTTGCGATTTGCATTATGACATCAATCTGTATCTAACTTTTTTCACAGTAAAAGAGAAGTTATATTAAATTTATTTGCTGGAATATTTTAGACGAAGCAACGAAATTATACTTTTTCAACTACATCAAAGCAAAATTAAAAAAACTTCTAATTAAATTAACTATGAAAGCGAAATAGCTCTCAAACAAAATACTTAATTTCGAAATTTAATTTAAATACTTTTCATACGCTTATTAAATTTAACAGCTGCCTATAAGATAGTTAAAATTATAATGGTAATTGATTTTACTCTTCAGAGATATAATAATATTTTCAACTGTGTGTTATTATTACGATATGAAATCATTTATAAAAATATATTTATAGCATGCAATTAAAATATATTTTCCATATACTAATAGAATTGCTTTTAAGTTTTGGAAACAATTGCTTTTATTCGAATAAAATATCTCGCACAAATACTTTATTAGCTCAAGGTTAATAGCTAATCAATATTTCGTCTGGGAACCACTGCTCCAAGTCTGGTTGTTAACTGCGCAGAAAAGGCATTTAAATGAGTTTTTTATTTGGAAAATTAAAAAAAAAAGGGGGGGGAAAGAAATTAACATGCAGAATTATGTTGGGAATAAAGTTTTACATCTTTCAAACTTTTTTGTCAGAGAGAATTCCGGTAATTTCACAGTCTTGTGCATTAAATTGTAGAATCGTGTAGGTATGTATTGAACAGTATTTTTATACTTATAAGTAGCTCAAGAAAAATGCTTAATTTTGCACATCATTTAAGTCATACACTCTTCATATTTCCTATTATTTAATATTTATAACATTTAGTTTATTACAACTTAAAATTTCCTGTTATTTAATTAATTACAATTTAATGTTTTCTATTACTTTTAAGATTATTTCCTGTTACTTACAACAGTGTTTCCTGTTATTTATTTTTTCTACTATTTCTTTCCTGAAATTACTATAAAAATCAATATTATTTTGAAATTTAACAAGTAGTATAGAACATTATATGTATCTTAGAATTTTATATTTACAGCGCTTGAGAGTAATAAAGTATTCACTTTTATGACCTAAAAAGTAAGTTAATTATAATGTATAAGTTTTTTTTTTATTATTTTTTATCATATTATTGCAAGATAACATCAAATCTCGATTGCATTAAGATCAAATTTTCGTACATCTAAGACCAAGTAATAAATGAAGAAAATGAAAGTGAACCTTTCACTTTAGACACTTAACGAAAATATTAAAAATTTTCTAGCATGAGAAATATCATACATTTAGGATAAGGTCAAATCTATCTTATAAACAATTGCAATGTATACTTTTTTGTTAAAATAAAACGCAAATTATTGTTTACTAGATATCTGACTAGAATTTCTTTGTTTGCCAATGCACTTTCAGTTGAGAAAATTATAACCACATTTAACGTTTTATGACACTTTAAAGACACGTAAAGTGTACTAGGATATTTAAGGTAACTTACAGTTTCTGCATAGCATATCTATGACACACATAAAATATTTGCAACAGTCTTCCATTAAGAAAACCTCTAGTTAAAATTTATAATGAAATTAAAATTTTAATCAATTTTTTTTTCTGCAAGAAAAACTTTTAGGATCAACATTGACAAGGCTATTACAATTATAATTATAACTGACAAGGCCCTTTAATTAAATAGGTATTTTAGTTACTGATATCATTGACTTGCAGAATAAAATAAATCGCTACTGATTAATGAAGGTTCATGCAAAAGAATATTGCGATGTCAGCAAGATTTAAAATTTTAATTTTAAGGCAGACACAGCATTATTTTCCCAAAAGAAGGCAGCAGCCCACAGTATAAGCTGCAAGCTAGCGGATACATTATAGGAGGAGTATTTTAAAAATGAAAGAAACACAGAGGATTTATTATAGGCGAACACTTCTACAAGCGGCAGAGAAAGGAATGAACAACAGACTAAGAAGTAGTACATGCGTTAAGAATCTGACCTCATTTGAGATATCGACGACGAGGTCCTGATCGCATTTGTCCTCTTCGTTCGCCTGGGTGTTGGGGAAGCAGAGGGCTGCCAGCTCGTTCCACGTTCCGCCTTTTTCGGACTGAAATACAAACACAACCACTCAGCGTTTTATTTGGCCTGAACAGTGGTTCCCAAACAGTTTCAACGAAAAATTAGTTTAAAGCCTATGCATTTAGATAGCGCGATACAAGATATTTTTCAAAAAATAAGAAAATGTTTCTGGTAAATTAATCAACAAAAGCTAAATAACAACATGGTAGAAATGAAGTACTCATACACTGCCCTCAAAAAAGTAAGGCCCAAACAGTTTTTCTCACCGTAGCATGTTTTGAAAGAATTATACGTTAAATATAACTTACAGACAGACTAATCACGTCCATTGAATTAGAACATCTATATGAATAAAGGAATATTGAAAATTGATAGTGGAAAAAAAATGCTTAGAGTAGACATGACAACTTTTCTTTATATAAATATACTGAATTTAAAAAAAGATCTGAAAAGACATTGAAATACTTGAATTATAGCAAAAGATGTCTCAATGATATCGATTATTTAATTTTATAAGAGAACAAGTAATTCGCTGCATGGAAATGGCTTATCAAAAATTGAAATTGCAAAACGGCTAAGTACAATGTCTCATCCGCATACAATGGAATAATTTTCTCCTAATTTAAGTCTGTGGTTTTATGAATACCAATTAAAGGCCTTCACAAGTTGCAAGCCCATCTGATGTTCGTTTACGCGCTTTTATGATCAAAGGAAAGTAACATATGTGTGCCTCAACTTGTTGCCGACAATTTGTATCAACAGAAAGTTGAAATTTTTTCTTTCTACAGTTCCTCCAAACGCAAGAAGAAATCAGCTAAGAAAATCTGTTGCGTGAGTTTCCTTGTTCGTCTAAACATACCAGCTTAACTAAATTATTACGACATCATATGCCATGACGGATTTATCATTCATGTTCAATACTATTACAGTTAAATGATACTCATCTTATAATGTACGATGGTGCCTAGCTCTCAAAGTAGCCATAAGCAGTCAGTATTTTACAGATCAGTATCTGCTTTTCCGATAAAAACTAAAACATAATAATTATTTACAGTGTAAACATTCCAATATCAACATCTATTTCAACTGCAAAGAAGAACACACATCTGCTGATTTAACTGATTAGCCATCCTGACTGCAATCTGGTAATCTAGGTAGCTATTATTAGAGTCGTGATCATCAGGTCTAAATCTTACTGATAAGTACTAAGTATTGCAGACGAAGAGCAGTAAATTATTTTACTGTAATTAAACTATGTAGTGAGAGAACTGAAGGGTATACGGATTATCGCCAATATCAATACCTAACAAACGTAAAATAACAAGTATTATTTCTTAATTGTTTTCACAAAATAATTTTGTCAGTATTGTGGTTTTTCAAAGAAAATTTTTTTTCCATAATACAGAATAACACATATACAACTATGTACAGTAAATTAGTAATCTTAGCTAAATATTTCGTTTTCATCTTGTTTTTATTAAAAAATTAAGGCCTAAAAACTTTTGGAGGGCAGTGCACAGTGCATTAATTAGTACTTGGAGAAGAATTTAAACTGCGAAGCTTTAGAATTGCCGTTTCAGTGATTCTGATGTAATTTCAAATCAATGCGATGAAATTTCAAATAAAAATGCTGATATTCCCCAATTTCTAAAGGAATGAAGTAATTATTACCCAAATGATGGACTGAAATCCAAACAATTACAAAACTGATAGAATTATCATCATCCACAGAATACTAAGGTTTGTATATTCTATTGTGATATTGTGATACACGTTATGCGTGTAACGTAAATATCAGCCATTGTTCCTTAACGTGCCTGCCTTCAAGCCATTGTTACTTAACACATGCCATATACTTTAAGGCATATAATCCTCGAAATCTATTGTCAAATTAAGTATTTAATAGCTGTCTTGCAACAACAGCTACCCAGAACCCATTTAAAAACTTTTTGGCGGGTCATTCATATGGCATTACTCTTTTTCTATTCAACAATACATTGCAAATCGAAAAACTCGCTTTTCCCCAAATAAGTGATATACATGCAAAAATGTTAAACAAACAAATTTATATTAAAGCAGGTATATAAAGTTAGAAAAAGTAGTTAGTAATTACTAAGATGACAACACTGATGTCAAGCGTATATGAGTTAGGACGTAAAAATTATCACGACTAGATACGATAATAAGTAAAGTAGGTTAAATTAATATTTAATACATGCCCTATACAAGCATGACGTTTTCTTAGGAGACCTTAGAAGCACTAGTAAAACAGAAAAAGCTTTGAAATTTTTACTTGTATTTTATTGGATAAATAACATAGTTAAGTGAAATTTTTAAATGCTAAGGTTTAATACAGAATTCATAGACTCGATAAAACTCGCTGTCAGCATATATTCTAGTATTTAGATTTTACCTAGGATTTAGATCAGAGATGGCCAAACCGCGGAAGGCGCGGCAAGGCGGAGTTTTAGCAATGGCACGCCAAGACTTATTGAATTAAAAGATTTGAAAAAATAATAAAATGCGATCATGTTTTAATATACACTGAAATCTGAAACAATAGCTTGTCATTCTAAATTTTGCTATAAAGATTTAATTCCTTTTCCACATTTAAAATAAATAAAGCACTATAATCACGACCAAACAGATAATTATTTTATTAGATTCATTACGGGAGAAAAGCGTTACAAGAACAGAAATGTTCTTGAAGGTTTATGAATAATTTTAATCTAAACAAAATTATGTTTAAAATTAGGCAAAAAGGCATCCTCAGTTTGGCGTAGATTTTGAGTAAAATTATATCGATTTCAAGGGCAATCAGACTCTTTTTTCAGATTTTTGAGAAAAAACATTTTTTGGGGGGCTCCTGAAGAAGAGAAACCTCAGGCTGATTGCCCTCGAAACTGAGCGAATTTTATTCAGAATCTGTGTAAAAATAAGGTTGCTTTTTTATCTAATTTCAAACTTTAGACTGGCTTGTTTCTCTTCGATTAAAACTATGTTATTCATATTATTCCTTTAGTGAATAATGTTGTTCGTCATTCATTTAGTCAGATATAAATTAACACCATTTTATATAAGCATATTTGTCAATTTTTAACAAAAATTTTATTTCATAAAAAGTTATTTAACATAAACAAATGTTTCTTCAAAATTCGACATGTATGAAAAGAATTATCTAACCACTTACAACAATTTAACATGTAAAACCAACAGCTAATCAAGAAGGTTTCTTATATGTTAACGAGTAATCTTAAAACCTTATGAATGTACGTTGCTTAAAGAGAAATGTATGCACCTCACATATAGAGGAGGCTAAAAAAATAGAATATTTATCCTAAACTTGTATTTCCAGTTGAAAAAGATTTGAGTAAAGTATTTTAGGGGTACAGTTTCGACATCGTGAGTGGATTAGTTTAGATTATCTGAATACGGCAAGGCACACAAGGGCTATCTGCTTAAAGGAGAGGGATGTCTTCATCGAGAACTTTCTATGGGGAACTGGCTTATTATATTCAGGTTAGACACTAGGAAAACTACGAAAAAAAAAAAAAAAGTACAGCCAGCGCGTTCATCAGGGATACCCTGCAGAGAAAAAATTCTAAGTAGTAAATTATTCATCATATTTTAATAAGTTATGAGAATTATGCCATAAGGTATATCTCCCGTTTCCTAGCGTGCCCTCCTGTTGTGATGGTCTGCACGCTGGGAGCGTGTTCCAGAGGTCCGTGGTTCGATTCCCGGCGAAAGCGTTGCTAATTTTTCAACTCTCTGGCATCAAAATAATCTAATGTATCTACAGTGGCGACCGAACTAAAAGAGCGTTGTATAAGGATTCTCCACACCCAGGATTTGGCGACTGGATCCCCTAAAAACCTCAGTCGTCCATTAAAAAGGGGAATATATAAGGTATATCTCCTGCTTTTTCTAGCGTGCCTTCATTTTGTGGTGGTCTGCACGCTGGGAGCGTATTCCAGAGGTCCGTGGTTCGATTTCCGGTGAAGGCGCTGCTAAGTTTTCATCTCTCCGGCCTCAAAATAACCTAATGTCTCTACAGTGATAATTTGCTGATGATTAATATTTAGTTCATGCGATTTTCCTGTTATTCTCGTTCTCCAGTACGCCATTTTACGACCAGTCAAAGAGACCACGTACATCTTAATTACGCGAACAATAGGTACAAGAGATCTGATTCTTAACAGTTAATTTTTAATTAGTGAGGATTCCTTTGAAGCTCAGTGATTTGCTTGCTGTTATTCATTTCATCTGCGTTGTCACTCATTGTGAATTCCTGGAATTTCGTAGGAAGACTAGAATTCAACCTTTAATAGTAAGAAATAGATTACGTACCTGTTTGTTTAGCAAGCTGAACTTTAATTAATCTAAAACAGTTACTTTGTTGCACTGAAATTTATGTTTATAAAAGCACATTAATGACAAGTAACTTAGACAGCTGGATAGTAATCTGGCAATACACCTAGATAATAGCAAAACACATAACAATGCATGGTCATAAACGCTTTCCTGGCGCAGTAGTGACGACACAAAACACAAGAAAGGAAGGACACGAACAAGGTGAGAATGTATGTTTATTATGATTAGTGCAGCAGAAACCAATAAATAAGAACAAAAACAGACGAACGTCATCAAAGAAGGTGTCTGAAAATAATTTCGAAACGTATCCTCAACATGGGATCGGCAAGGGTGGTCCAGTTCATTGACCAGCAAGATCGCCAGACCTCACTTGCATTGACTACGTCTTTTGAGGGTACGTCAAGACATTGGTGTACGAAATCTCCGTCGTTAGAAGTGCTGAGGAACTTGTTGCACTCATCCTGGTAGCTGCTGGGGAAGTCTGGGACATGCCCGGTATTTTCTAGAACATAAATCTTTCGTGTGCCGGAGATGAGACGCCTGCATTAGGGTCCGGATTCGTAATTTCGAACTCTTTCTTTGATGACGATCGTTATCTTTTTTATTTCTTGATTTCTGCTGTAATAAGCATAATAAACATGTTCCTTCTCTCTTGTGTTTTGTGTTTTCACTAGCCGAATCAGGAAGGTCTTTCCAACAATGCATTCCTATCTGATTTTCCATCGTTTAGGTACACCCTATCTCTCCTGAAAGTTTGTAACCAATTCAACCTGATTCAATTTACTCTTTTAGGATAATGGCATTGGTGTAGGACTGACATCGACATAAGATCTAAATTAAAAATCCTAACACAATGTCGATCCTATACCGCATTCCCTTACCAAACCTTCTAATCCTTAGTCCCGAAAATGTTTTCGTAGAATTCTTTCTGTCTTTATATATGAGATTTCTTTGCAATTGGAAGTACATGTCTAGGTTCAATGTTTAAATAAGTAAAGCCTGTAGCCCTCTGTCTTTTTGTATATCTTACATATGTTCTTCATTACAATATTTACTTACACTATTTAGGGCACGTGTTTTAGCAGTCTTATTTCCTTCATTCGACAGATTTTCTTAATTATAGATAAAATTATTTAAATCAAAATATGGGGACAATATTATTTAATCAAAAACTCTCTGAACTGTAGAAAACTAAATCACTTACGTGGTCATGTCTGTCTTCTTTTCGCCTCTTCTTCTCGATGTCAAGATCTGGAGATCGACTTTTAGGCTTCTCTCGATCGTGAGGGGAAATAGAATTCCTCTGAAAATTAAAAAAGAAAATGGTAAAGAATTTAAATCGTAAGAATTTGTTGTTTTTATGCACAGTAATAATATAGTGTGATGTCAAGTAAATTTTGTTGTATAATGAAAATCAACAAGAGGTCAGCTTTCTAAAACTATACATCAAACCAGCCAAATTTAATAGATTTAAACTGGACTACTGTAACTAACTAAAATGGTAACAATAACGAATTTAATAGTTGGCTTTATAAACACTCTAGCATCGCGTTTTACATTACTATGATTAATGCTAATTCTATATAATGAAATAATGAAGAGAAATCTAAAAATGCGAAATTTATGACTATTCGTTATAACGCAGTTACATTCGAATTGCCAAATGATACTAAATTTACACTATCTATTACTTTAGACAATATAAAAAGATTACATCTGTCTTGAAACAGTGATGCTACTGCAAGCAGTTCACTTCTTTCAAGTAATACATTCCGTGAAGATAAACGATAGCAATCTTCTGATAAAATACTGATAAAGTATATATTAAAATTTATATTTGTTCTGCTTCCATAGAATTTTTATATTAACTCGAAAAAATGAGAATAAATGAATACAAGTAACAATTTAAATTCTAAGACTTAGAGTTAGTAGAAAAATGTGGTGCCATAATCCACCGAGCACGAGGCTTGGTACTGAGAAGGTTACTTAAATAATATTAATGCTGCTCCAAATTTTCAAATTTCTCAATTTTGAGAGCGCGCAACCTCTTTTAGTATACACATTAATTTAACGGTCCTACATAATTATGCATTTGGGCGACTGTATATCATTATGACCATTGAGACAATGGTCATAAGTTTTTCTTTAGATTACGGGCTTTAATGTAAATTCAGGCTGTAGGAATGAAATCCTAGGATTGCCAAGTTATAAAGTCCTGGAATTGCCAAGCTATAAAATCCTAGAATTGCGAAGCTATGAAATAGCAGAAGAAGAAATGAGGATGGTAGATTTATTATTCAGTTCACTGAATTACCAGCGAAAACAACCATACGTTTATTTAAAGATACATCACACGTATTTGTTAATTCTTTTAAACTTTGGCTTGCCATTTTAATTTTTTTATAGGTTGAGCGAAAAGTCATTACTTCAAAACTGAATCCTCTAACCTCTTAAAAGGGTGTAAGATACTTTACAATTATTTCCAAATAATTTTTGTTTAAACAACAACAAAGGCTGACGAGAGAGAATGCTGTGTGACTCATAGCCAACAATCTGCGGAAACGTTACAAAGAACAATAGCGCAATGAATATAAACGCACGTGACAGTACACAGTAATGGAGACTTACTTTTAAGCAGAACCCACATCCGCACAGCTGAACAAACGTTTAAAGCATAAATGGAGGAACATTTACTCTCCCATTCAACATTGTCAACACCGTTGCAATAGCTACCAGCAGCGTGTGCAGAACAACGGAAATATCAAAGTGGCACGTTCATTTATCAAAAATATTGCTGGCAAACGAAATGCAGTGCAAATATATATAGCACGGACAAAATCTAAGATAAGAATATAGGTAGTGGAAATAGCTGCTGATGGTTACAAAAAAAGTCAGTAACAATGTTTTAAGATAATAATGGTCACAGAAATGGCACAGAAAGTAATTTAAAACACAGAAAGTAATTTAAACATTATCAATGCTCAAATTTAGATTGAGGTTAGATTAGAAATACTTCGAAAGAATTCCACCCAACTTTCTCTTCTTCAGAAAGATAAAATTATTTTCCACATTTTCCATCGAAAATCTATACCTTGTCTTCTCTGCCGAAATATACAATAATTATTATTTGATATCTAAGAAAAGAAACCATCAATATATTCCTAGGAAATCTCAAAATGCATTAACATCTCACCTTGTGCATTTGACCAATTTCTAAATCTCGCCTCAGTTAGCAGTGATTTAGAAGATGATGATTGTGTTATGTACGTTTATCATTAAAAAAATATGAAGACATGCATTCAAGAACCTACTAGAATTAAACATCCCAGACTGTGTGCTGATTCCATTCGAAGTAAATATTGCTGACGCTGAAATTGAGTTACAAGAGGAATTTGTAGAATTAAAAGGTCTGATGACAGAGTCTGAAATCTGTTCAAGAAACGAAAGCATAATGTGTGTAAGAATAAGGATACTGCATGTAAATATCTGCTTTTAAGGGAAAATCTAAAATGTACGTCATCGTTTTCTCATCATCTTTTCATGAAATGTGGCTTTAGTCGTGTAGCACAGTTGCAAACAAAAAGTCGTAATCGACTTAATGTACTGAAAAGAGGTGATGTTCGTCTGACTCTCACAACATTTGAGCCTGATAGTAATATGCTAATAACAAAACACCAGCTACAAAGATCACATTCATACAGCCTTCCCGTTTAATAGGATCCTATTTAATACTCTTAGACATAAATTTTTTTACATGCTGTTTGAAATAGTAAATATAATGTCCTACTATCAGTATAAAAATACTTACTATTAAGTATTACATATAAAGTTAAATTACTATAAATAATTATTTTACTAAAAGTAAAAATATGTTTCATTTTTATTAACTAAAATTATCAAAATTTGGAATTCACATTTTATATTGTACTATAATTGTTTCATTAATACCTTTTAATAACCTACAAATAAATATTTCATTTAAGAATGTTACATATTGCCTCTATGATGGTTCACATACTTAAACTTAGATCTACAAGGCAGAAAAAGTCTAAACTCTTGGTTTAGAAGGTAAATGAATCATTCTTATTTTTTCTTTCATAAATGATGGGATGAAAAAAACTTGTATAATAATAGTAAACAGTGGAGCTGTTAATGAACTATATTCAGTGATGCTGCATCAGCAAGATTATGCGTAACATCCTCCTGAATGATGAGTGTGTTCGCATCAACACATGAGGGCTTAGGAAGGCTAAATTTTTCTAATTTACAGACATACTCAAAATACTTAGTGATTATTAGTTATTAAAGCTTCTAGGTTTTAATATAATGCAATAAAACTGAATAATAAAAAAGTTGTAGTTTTGAAGTAGTAAAGTTTTTATCTGTGCTTATTTCAGTAGCAGTTTAGGGCTACTCCTTTTGACAAGAGAAAAGCGAAATTAGCAAATTAAGAAGAAACGATTTCCATAACTCAGTTATAAGACACTAATAGTTCAAAAACAACTACTGTATTCAAAATAAATCGCAGATTTTACAGTTAAACAAGACATACACAAAAGCAAATGTTTTTCATTGCCTTTACTTGTATTAATACCATTTTTTTACATTAATCTTTTTTCCACCTAAGCTGTAATTACTGTTATTGCTCATTAATTTTATTATTGTAATTGCAGGTACATAGTCGTAAACTTTAAACTCAACAACAAATTCACAAAAGTCTCAGTTTTAAGTAAATATGAAATCTAAAGTTTCTAAGGGTCATTTTGGGTATGAAATCTCCCAATTTTATGGATTATTTTAACTTTTAAAAGCTCATTGTCATTCAATTTAATACTGTTTATAGATAACTGACTCAACGTTAGGAGCCGGTCCGTCTCCTACCTCATAACAGTACAAGTTCTTTAATCAAATAATTTAAACAGAACAGGTGAATTTAAGCTCATCCGTGTACTCTGTTATAAGGAAGAGTAAATGTAGTTTAACCAACCATCTAAAGAATATTTACTAGTTATTTTAAACCAAATCTCAACATTTACATTTCCATTTAATATATTTAAAAAAGACAAGAAAGGAAGCAGGAAAAATTTTTATAGGAAAGACAAATCCAGTCTATATCAAACGCCAAAACCCACAAGGGAATGGGGCGAAATCTCGCCAACATGTAGAAGCCCCGAAGGCAATAGACGATGGCCATCGGCTCTTGTGTGCACAAGACGGGAGAAGACGAAGAAAAGAAAGCGCAGAGAGGGAAAGGGTAAAGAAAAACGAACACACACACACACACACACACAAAAAAAAAAAAAAAAAAAAAAAAAAAAAAAAAAAAAGGAAAGCAAGGAAAATGTCGGCCTGTTGACGTAAGATGTTTGGCCACCGCTGTCCTCTCTTTCTATTTCTACGGCCTCTTGAGCACACAATACGACAGTGCCCAAGGCGCATCTGTAGATACATTTACTTCAGCCAAGGGTTTTTATTTTTCTTGTGAAGCCATCGAACGTTTACGCACTTGTGTTGCCTTTCGGGAATCTCATCTGAGATGTGTTTCCTCTTGGACTGTCGATGCTCACATAGTCCATCTGCTCGCATAGACAGACAGCGGAGGAAGTGTCGCAGTGAAGTACGAATACAGGTGCAGCAGCTTTTATGGGGACTGGATAGGTGCCGTTTTTGTTTTGTATTAACTGCTGGACAGCTGTGGAGCTTCTTGGTATAACGCTATCTTACATATGTTTCTGAACAAAGTTTCTGTCGAATACGAACATAAAGCGAAGGTATTCAGAAATGGAATTATTTATGAAAAATTTAAGTCAATAAAATAAAATTTTATTTTGATTCTAATTTCTTCAGCACTTGTCCTACTTATGCTCACAGCAGGCTTATAGTATAATTGTCGTTAGAGAACGTATTATAGAAATAGCGTGTCTGTAGACGAAGTTATTAAGATATCAGCTTGATTAACTGCGTATTAAAATTTATATAATTGGTTTCAGTTTAAAAAAAATTGAAATTCATGATAACAGTTTTTGTGGGAACAGCGATTCACTAAAGACATTACCAAATTTCATTACTGGTCAATTATGCATTAACTAAGCAGGTTTGGAAGATCTCTTTACAAAAGATGGTTTTTTATTTTCAAGTCTGCTCTACGTGAAAAGAAGACTGCCAGAGTATAAAGTGTTTCGATAGAAATGATTGGAAATTAAAAAATTGGAGTAAACATTTACAAAGTTGTACAAGCTTTGTTCAATAACAGACATAAATGCTTAAAATATATAATATATCAAAAATTTAAAATCATACAGC